AGACAGGGACACATACACAGCCATACTCTGTACTCCCAGAAACATGCGCTTGCATGCAGTGACAGGCAGCTACCAGCAGACTTGTAGGTGTGAAACAAGATCCTTGGGCTTGGTTTCAGGTTCAGGTGGACATGTAGCCCATGACAGTATGACTCAGGTACACTTGCTTTACATGTACATGCGACCCTACAAGATTTGGTTCGTTATAAACGAAAACTGTGCGCTATAAAGGGTCAATTTTGTATGGGTTCAAACAGGGACATGGACAAGGGTTCGCTATATCACGAAATTCGTTAATATGCGAGTTTGTTATAAGTGGAGTCGACTGTACTGTATACGTGTTCATAGCATGGTGTTTTGAAGTTTTTCTGAGCAGCTGGCTTTACTGCATTGTTGATCAATTTTGCACGTAAAAGAGGAAACTGTTTACATGTAATCCTTACAACATGATTGGAACACCAAGACTATACCTGTAGTCGGTTGTTGCCAGAATCAGCAATGATCACTCGTTCATCATCTGTTACATGCACAGCTGTTGGGAAGCTGAACTCTCCCCATTTTGTACCCTTCCGACCAGTCATCTTCTTGAACTGGCCATCAACACCGTGTATCTAAGTGTATTGACAAAAAGGAATACAATTTACAAATGTTAACACAACCATGCACCCATACATAGCCCAGATCCAAACATACATGTAGTAAACATTTGGTTGCAGTTCTATAGTGTGAATCTAGCGAAAAGCTCGTCCAAAAATGTCAGTCACACATGCACACCCAATGTGCTGTCGGCCGCTCCATTCCACGTGCACATCACCACCACAGCCAGGACAATTTAGTTGAGATACTGACTTTTCTGACCCTCAAGATAGCTTTTTGGTCCAACATGGTGACAGAGCTCATCAGTGGAGGTTGTTGATAATGGTTGATTAAGATACAATGAGTGATTGATGTTGTATAGGCGAAAACTTTCACAATTTCATATTTTCTCTCTAGTGTGGCGTGCCCTAGCAAACAAAGGGGTTAGGTGATAAAGGGCAGTTTTAACAGATATGACAATACAAGTGTGCAGTGTTTGGACATTCAGCACTCGTATGTATGAGTGGCTATTGGCTACTAGTAGCACCTCTCTTTGTTTGTTGATTTTGTACCAATTCTAGCACTGCAGAGGACCTGAAAGCATGTCCCAGTAACGCACACTTGCACTATCTGTTATCACCTGAAGCCTCAGTGTCCTATGGCATGCCACACTTCGATGTAGAAAGCGCACAATTGCGACTTTTTTACCCTGTTATAACATTATCCCTTCACCCGGATCACCCACTATCACCAACTACCACTGATGGGCTCTGTTGGAGCAAAGCAGCTGCCTTCAGGGTCTGAGATATCAATATCACAATGGAAATGTCCTCGTTGCGGTGGTGATGTGCAATTGGAATGGCTCGGCCAAGAAAACATTTAGGTGTGGGGATGTCATTGGCATTCCAAGTATTTTGTGATGTACAATGATCACCTTTCTCCAGTTTGATGGTTTAGAAAAAAACTGATCTGCAAGAGAAATGACATTCTGCTCATATCAACTTCTCAGCTCTTGTGTTCACTGGGATTACAGGTTAACTGGATGGTGCAATAGCGTAAAATTTAGAATTTTGAAGAATTCATCCAAGGGATTGTCTACTACTGTTTCAGACAGTCTTAAAAGCATCTTCAACCTGACCAATTGAGATCCTTATTTTTCAATTCTAAAAAAGCACACACAGACCATCCTGAGCAGGTCATCCATCAGGGTGACATTTACATACACACCGTAGTTGCCGGACGGCAATGTACTGTGAGTTCAGTTACCTTTATTCTCTGGTTTTCGGCGTCACAGATGATCAGGTCACCAGCTTTGTTGGTTGCTAGTCCCCTAGGGTCGTCAAACTGATCTCTCCCGCTGCCCTCACTACCAAATGAGTACCTTGCTCTGTGGATCTTTGTGTAATCACGCTGCAATACAGGAGAGCAGTAAGAACAACACCAAACAACACTAGGACCATAATTATAGGGAGAAACTAGTGATGTCAAACCTGGCTGGGTGGTCATACACTTCATACTTCGATTTCAAATTTCCATGGCCTCATGTTTCGTATAAGGAGTAGATGATGGTATACACATCACCCTAAGGTGAGAGAACAATCAATCCTCCGCAATGTTCATGACAAAGATAGTTTCAAGCGCTACCATGACCACAACTCAACATTGAACCAACAACAATGGAGTCAGCAGCAAAACGAACAAAGGAAAGGACTAAACTAACTGCACTAGCACTAGACGACTGTCTGGAGGCACTTGACTCCAGGGCAGCAATGCGTGAGTCCACTGCAGCCAAGCGTGAATCCATGGTGGAATTGAGTGAAGTGAGAGTTGATGAGTGGGCACTGAGGTTAGTGTCGATGGTGGAAACTCTCTCCCTCCATGCATCCATGCCGTTCACTTTCTCTTCCACAGCTGTCACTCGGGTGATGATTGCCTGCTGTTGTGTGGAAATCGTTTGCAGTTGCGTCAGAATGTCTGCAAACTGACTCAAATAGCGATCTGCGGACTAGACAAACACATAATAAAGAACACCATCCACAAACACATACATACACACGCACAGACATATTCACACACAAACACACACACATGCACACACACACACACATATTCACACACAAACACACACATGCACACGCATACACACAAACATACACACACACACACACACACACACACACACACACTATGGATTCTAATACTCTGCGTGAACCCAATTGAAGCATTTCTACCTATGGATCACAGAAAACAAAAAAATCCCCTGGTGTGTACGAGAAAATTTCACAAATCTGAAAGAGAGCATTCAATTATTTTGCAAGGAAGAATTCAAAATAATTGACGGAGTGGAGCAGTAATCTCTGCATATTGAGTAGTACTAACGGATCGTATGCGTGTTAAAACAAAATGGCGTCACGATTTATTGAAAGTGGTATAGACTATAGTTGGTGGTACGAGTGTTCAAACCCATTTGAACTTCATACTGTTCGTCTTCTTTTTGACATGCTCTCTTTCCATCGTCCTTAGCTTTTGTTTGTTGTGAGCTGTTTTGGATTTCTCCTATACCTCTGGGGGATGCCAAGTGATGGTTTTGAGAGGCTGGTGATGGCTGTGAGCGAGAGTTTGCCGATCGGCGTCGTCCTCGCTATAGCGATGAAAATACTAGTTACTGCGCACCTGGCAGATATCACAACACGTCGGAGCGTCCAGGAGCAAAGGAATCTTGGGTTTTCACTGGAATCTAGTTCCTCCAGCATCGTGTAGCCCACCGTTGGCCGTCCAGAAAGGTCGAACCTTTTCTTCTGCAGCATCTCGCAGTCCTGCGAGGCACACTGAATACGCCTGTCATGTAATCTACAAATAGAAATCACGAAGTAGTGGACTTTATGGTGATGAGTCTATCCTGTATGCTGCAAAAGACGCAGGAAATGTGACTGGTGTCCGTACACTGGACGCCAATATCATCCTAGTCTTCTCCTGCAGGATCTGTTTGACATTGACATACCGGTATGCAGTGGGTTGACATTGGCCTGGTTTGGCAGCTATCTGCCCGGGTGGATGTAGCAGGTTTGCATTGGCGCGTCGTCCAGTCCGACATTTTCTTGTAACTGTGGAGTACCGGCAGGGTTTGAGAGGTTGCTCGTGCTGTGAACACATCTCTACTGCCTGTCTCGCCGCTTCCTTGCTCTACAGTCACGCCGTTATTTCGCTTTCATTCGTGGTGCAGCTCAAAACCTGCCCAAACAACTGTGAGCTCGCAACATGGTATGGACAAATTGCACCACTCATGCTGGTTAACTAAAACCGGGATAGTCGAGTAAGCGAGTTCACTCCCTGGGCCATGGAAAGATCTGTTCAGCGCGGGCTATTCCAACCTCCAAGTGCATAGTCACCGATCGATCCATGCGATGGTGGTTGACCTACAAAGAGCCAAGGTCTACGAGTACTACTATTGGATGCTGTCTACATGCAGTCAACAAAATCAAAGTACCTCAGTATGCCCCAGAATAGGGCATGTGCATCTATAGCATGACACAACAGGGGTTCTGGCGGCACCTGTCAAACAAGCAGTAGGACTAGAGCCAGCTACCTATTGGAGGCTAGTCACTACAGTCTGTCACTGGAGATTATTATTATGTTCACTGTTTAGACCGAGCACAATCAATGATGCCCAATCAATCTGCCCAATCAGTGTGTTCTGTTCCACCTAATTATAACGTACCATCGCATCAACCCTACTACACGCACATGTCGTCACTCTAGCATGACTTGTGTTATTATTGTATATTTTGATCCGCACGATAAATAGAGCACAATAAACGTTAACTTGACCGAAGGATATAGGCAACTGCAGATAGAGGACCACATCGAGGTACAGGTACCGGCATCAATACAGTATCAGAGAGAAAAAAAAACAAAAATGAGAGGTACGCAGAAAAAACTCTCGTAAGCCCAAGGGGAAGTGGTTGATGAGGGATGAATGCACTCTCCACGCTCATCTACACTGTTCGTGGAAATGCACACATACCTACAATAATATAAAACATAGCAATAGCATGCACAGAACCGACCAATTTCATGTTCACACATGCAAGCACAGACCTGAACATTAGTACCAAAAGCCGATACAGACAATATCCCCATACACACAGACGCGCACACACACACACACAATGTCCCATGTATGCGCCAGTGGCGAGAAAAGCACGCAAATCTACAAATGCACTGGATGTGAACCCACAGATTTTCTCTTATAGCAACGATAGCGGATCTTATTCTGAATGAAACACACACACACACACACACACACACACACACACACACACACAATACAATCATTGAATGTCCATCCGCAGATGATGGCAGGTCCTGAAAGAACAGGCAGTGTTCCAGTAATGGGGAACAGAACTTCTAGTGGCGAGTGAGGTATACACACACACACACGTGTGTGCGCGGGCACACACTAAAGTATTCAGAAATAGAATCGACATTGTAGTATTCATTGGTTGGGGAATGGAAAGGAAAATAAAACATTGCTGTAGGTTATTGTTTTAAGGACACTGGGAGCACAACAGAAAGGTAAGCAGCTTGCTTTGAAGCAAAGAAAGTTATTATTCCACGGATCTCAGAAGGAAGGAACGTTCCAGAATGCTGCACTGGCAACAGGCGGCCTGCATGTGCGCGGCCTCTGCAGTCGGTCCAGCTGCCGGCCTTGCAGTGCTGAAAAGAATGTGCAGTACAGCATGTCACATAGTATCGCAGCCTGGACAAATAGGCGCTGGGAAGTCCTAGTTTAGTAGTTATGTGCTCACCTACACCACGATGCACCAATCTTCTGAGCTACTTTGGCAACAATTTTGTCCACTTGAGACTCCCATGGGCTGAGCCAGTTGTTGAGGGCTGCCCCAAGGTGGACGGCAATGACCGCTGATGGCAAGGCAATCCATGACACACAGTCACTAGGGCATCGGCAACATGGCGCTGAGGCTGGATCGATAAAATCAACCTTTAGGCTGTCGCGGGGTTGGCAACGAGGCCGCTGTCTCGAAGCTAGTCAGTCAGCCTGGTCACCGCCATTGACGAACCAGTCGCCACCGCCAGCAGTGGCGGTAGGTTGTGACAAGTGTGGTGCAATATTGTCAGCAAATTCAGTACTTAGGATAAGATGAGTGACAAAGGGAACGTTTTGTTTGATAATATTGAAGTGAACAGGGATGATCACCAACCCTGCGCGTACTCCACCGTGAGTTGCAAGAAAATTACGGACTGTACGACGAGCAAACGCCAACCTGCTACATCCAACCAGGCAGATACTATTACGATAGCTGCCAAACCAGGTCAATGCCGACCTACTGCATAATGTCAATGTCAAACAGATCCTGCAGGAGACGACTGGGCCGTTGGCGTCCAGTCACTGAGTGTACACACACCAGTCACATTTCCTGTGTCTTTTGCAGCATACAGCCTTACAGGCTGGGACTCATCACTGTAGAGTCCCCTACTGCATGAGTTTTATTTGTACAATATATGGCAGGCGTACACGGTGTGCCTCGCAGGACTGCGAGGTGCTGCATAAGACCAGGTTCGACCTTTCTGGACGGCCATTCAAAGACGGTGGGCTACACTATGCTGGAGGAACTAGATTCCAGTGAAAACCCAAGATTCCTTTTCTCCTGGACGCTCCGACGTGTTGTGATATCTGCCAGGTGCGCAGTAACTACTAGTAGTATTTTCACCGCTATAGCGAGGACGACGCCGATCGGCAAACTCTCGCTCACAGCCATCACCAGCCTCTCAAAACCATCACTTAGCATCCCCCAGAGGTACAGGAGAAAGCCAGAACAGCTCACAACAAACAAAAGCTAAGGACGATGGAAAGAGAGCATGTCAAAAAGAAGACGAACAGTATGAAGTTCAAATGGTTTTGAACACTCGTACCACCAACTATACCACTTTCAATAAATCGTGACGCCATTTTGTTTTAACATGAATATCGCGGACTGGTCACTGCATGGATTTAGGAGTCTCGTCCGTAATTATCGAAAAACTAAAAAAATCCGTCCTCGTGCAAAATTGTCTCTAACCCACCCCACCCCAATTTTGTCCCATTAAAGGGGAAGTTAAGGCAAAAATTAAAATTTCACCAGTTGTAGTCTTCGGGGTGCTGAGTCGAATGGTCTTGGTCCGAGAAAGCTGAGACGCTCCCTTCCTACTTGAATCCCAATCGAACTCGCGCACTTCCACCGAAACTGGATGACTGCGACCTACTAGATGGGGATTTGTATGCAAAATGTCACTAAAAGCGCCGTTTCGTTCTTATAAAAGCACGGATGACCGCGATTGGCCCATATGTTGTAGTCTTTTGGACGCTGAGTCGACTGGTTTTGGTCCGAAAAGGCTGCGATGCAGCGTTCCTCCTTTATTCCCAATCGAACATGGTTGAACAGGCGGTCACATGCTCCTGCGTACACCAGTCACCTGGTCACCGTGCCTGCAGGGTACAACTTACTAGCCTGTTTGACCTTTTTTGGGTGCAGTCCTGTCACTCGAGTTGAACTCGAGTTGAACCTTGGTGTGAAAGTTGTCGCCTGCTGGCGTGGTGACCAGGTGATTTGGGCACCCAGGAGCACGTGACCACTTGTTCAACCATGTTCGATTGGGAATAAAGGAGGAACGCTGCATCGCAGCCTTTTCGGACCAAAACCAGTCGACTCAGCGTCCAAAAGACTACAACATATGGGCCAATCGCGGTCATGCGTGCTTTTATAAGAACGAAACGGCGCTTTTAGTGACATTTTGCATACAAATCCCCATCTACATGTAGTAGGGCGCAGTCACCCAGTTTCGGTGGAAGTGCGCGAGTTCGATTGGGATTCAAGTAGGAAGGGAGCGTCTCAGCTTTCTCGGACCAAGACCATTCGACTCAGCACCCCGAAGACTACAACTGGTGAAATTTTAATTTTTGCCTTAAAGGGGAAGTTAAGGCAAAAATTAAAATTTCACCAGTTGTAGTCTTCGGGGTGCTGAGTCGAATCGTCTTGGTCCGAGAAAGCTGGGACGCTCCCTTCCTACTTGAATCCCAATCGAACTCGCGCACTTCCACCGAAACTGGGTGACTGCGCCCTACTAGATGGGGATTTGTATGCAAAATCTCACTAAAAGCGCCATTTCGTTCTTATAAAAGCACGAATGACCGCGATTGTCCCATATGTTGTAGTCTTTTGGACGCTGAGTCGACTGGTTTTGGTCCGAAAAGGCGATGCAGCGTTCCTCCTTTATTCCCAATCGAACATGGTTGAACAAGCGGTCACGTGCTCCTGGATGCCCAAATCGCCTGGTCACCACGCCAGCAGGCGACAACTTTCACACCAAGGTTCAACTCGAGTGACAGGACTGCACCCAAAAAAGGTCAAACAGGCTAGTAAGTTGTACCCTGCAGGCACGGTGACCAGGCGACTGGTGTACGCATTAGCACGTGACCGCTTGTTCAACCATGTTCGATTGGGAATAAAGGAGGAACGCTGCATCGCAGCCTTTTCGGACCAAAACCAGTCGACTCAGCGTCCAAAAGACTACAACATATGGGCCAATCGCGGTCATCCGTGCTTTTATAAGAACGAAATGGCGCTTTTAGTGAGATTTTGCATACAAATCCCCATCTAGTAGGGCGCAGTCACCCAGTTTCGGTGGAAGTGCGCGAGTTCGATTGGGATTCAAGTAGGAAGGGAGCGTCTCAGCTTCCTCGGACCAAGACCATTCGACTCAGCACCCCGAAGACTACAACTGGTGAAATTTTAATTTTTGCCTTAACTTCCCCTTTAATTCCCCTTTAATATTTTGATTTTTCCCAATGCCTAGCTAGAAAATAAGAACTCCTGACCCCAGGGTCACTGACTGCACCTGTGTCAGGTACATTGTACTAGTAGCTACTGTACTAGTTTGTTTTGTTTCTGGTTTTTGTTTGTTTTTGTTTTAGTAGGTCTACCAACGGCCATGCACGTCCTACAACTACATGTTCATCATACTGGTGTTTGCGACATGACGAGTACAGTCAGTACACTGCAAAGCCAGCGCAACAACTGTATGAAAGTCACTGAAGTAAAACAGTTTAAGAAAATTCGACTCGGAAAAATCTAAAAAATAAATTCTGCCAGCACTCCTGACGGTGCCACCCAACGCTTTTTGCATCAGGACGGATTTTTTTAATTTTTCTAATTACGGACGACCCCTTATGGCTCTGATCCACTACTTTATGTTTTCATGTCACCATTCTGGATAAGGGACCTATGCAAATCTATAACAACCCACCAGTTGATTACATAATTTCACTGGGCTATACTATGCATACTGCAGATGCACACTACTGCTATGTACACGTCACATGGCTGATGTAATGGGAACAGCCAGTCACCAGCCAGCATGTTATTGTGAGGCCTGTGTTTTTCAATACAATCATCTTGCACACGTCAGTGTTTTGCCTTGTTGAAGTGTAAGAGTCCAGACAGGGTGCGCCGCCTCCACTGAAATATCAGAACCCTTATCATGTGTAATAATATTACAGCATGGCATTATATTATAATGTCATGCTGCACAGCCAGCTAAGACTTAGGGGGCGTTCGAATTGTCTTCATCAACTGTTCGAACACATTTTTTAAAGAGATTAGTTGAAGTGTCCCATTAGAACGGTTTCTGTCATTTTAGAGTTTTTCAGTCGAATTGTCTTGGCGATGAGGACGTCGGATCAGATCGACCATCTCACCGTACTACATGACGTGGCTATTCCAAAATCTTCGGAACTAATCCACCCTCCCATCGGATGAGGTTGTGGAGTTTCGAGGAGTTCGTTTTTCTGAAGAGGCCACCTCTTCAGAAAAACGAATCTCCTGGAAAAGTCAAAGAGAGACAATTTGGCGAACGCGCCTTTAGAGTACTTGTGTGAGTGTGTGCATAGGCAAAGCCAGGTCTAATGTATGCTCTGGTAGCTGCACCATTCAGGCATGCATCAGCCAGTATTTCCCATTTACATGTACACATTGCATGTATACCCAGCTAGGCTGTATTTTAACAGTACAGCACAGTGAGTACAAAGTCATGTTATACTATGTGAGTACATCCATACCATAGAGTGAGGTGGGATCTGCAGTAAGTGCATGTGAACATCAGCCGATGTGGGTCTAGATCCAGGATCATCATGCAGACACGACACGATCAGAGAATGCAGTGGGTGATCCGAGCCCAGTCGATCCAGATCTGCTTTGCGTCGGCGACCCTCCGGAACTGATCTCCGCGTTCCATTCTCCAGCAGAACAGTAGCTTCAGTTGGGGAAGGCTGTCGTCCCACAAGCAGCGACAGCATCACCACTCCTAGAGAAAACACATCCAGTTTCTCGTCGTATGTTGTGCCCACTTGCAGGCTCTCTGGCGGCATATAATAAGGCGTACCGGGGCACCGTGTCAGAGTTGTCAAGTCTGCACCTTGACCACCGTGAAGAGAGCGGGCCAAACCTACATCAGCTATCTTGGCTCTCCCTGCCGTGATCAAGATGTTGTGGGGTTTCAAATCGCGATGCAAAATGTTCTTGCCGTGAAGAAAGCGCAAACCTTCCGCCGTGTCGACAAGATACTGAAGGCTTTGCGCGAATGGCTCTCTTGGAACAACTCCAATTCGATCACCTAGCGAGCCGGCCATCAGTTCTACCACTATACACGGAGATTGATTGGGAGCAATGCCGATCCCGAGCAGTCGCACAATTCTTTCATGTTGCAGTCGCCGCATGACTAGGCACTCAGTGCCGAATCGCTGGAGAAGAGCTGCACGCCCGACATTGCCCTGTTGGAGTAAAATACTATGTAAGACCTTCACAGCAACAGGGAGACCCTCCAACTCACTTGTATACACAGTGGCATCCGAGCCACGGCCTATCTCGGGTTTGTTCAGGTCAACTTGGACGAATCCAAGCCAAATTGCATCTGGGACACCAAGTCTCTCTTGGAGCTGAGTCTCAAAGTTGAACCCTGCCATTTCAGTAATAATAATAGTGTAACATACAATCGTCTTGCTCTCGCAACTGTGTGTTTGATTGTGTCTGCGAGTGCTCAGCACCTTGTTATGGCGTTAGACGTACACTGCATTGAGTGTGTGTGTGTGTGTGTGTGTGTGTGTGTGTGTGTGTGTGTGTGTGTGTGTGTGTGTGTGTGTGTGTGTGTGTGTGTGTGTGTGTGTGTGTGTGTGTGTGTGTGTGTGTGTGTGTGTGTGTGTGTAGTCTGTAGACTACAGAGTGAAGTTTAGTCGCGTTCCGCACTGGGGTATGCATTCCCGTTCTCACCTCCCTGTTTGCAGTCTACAATAATGTACAGGTGCAGACATGAAGAGCTAGCTGTCTCTCGCCTCAACAGTTGGTGAACGTTTTGATCGTAATCGGCCACCGGTACCGCAAACGGCGCAGCCGCGTGCCGAAAACGCCCCGTTCGTAAGCATTTCGGAAAGCAATCCTCCAGTAGATCTACCCAGTGCAGTACCGCATAAAAATGAAGCTGTCATGGATCATGGACAGCTAGCCTAGCCTGCCTGGCTAGCTGGGCGGTCGACCACAAACTGACTGGCGAGTGGCGAGTAGGCAGATACATGTATGCCTGTGCATCTGTTGACGTCATCAAACAAAACAAATCCACAATACAGGGAACGAAATCATGGAAACTGTTGGTTGCTCCCTAGTCAGATCCCTAGCCTGAAGATCGTGCTATCCACTGAGTCTGTCAGTGTCAGGGAACTGTCACCTGGTCACTGACTTGGCTTGACACTCGACGCCAGTTGACGGCTTGACGACTGCCATCCAAGGCACACGCCATACCCATGGAGCCTTGGACCGGGCAAAGGTGCAAGAAAGCACCAGTCCCTGTTCAATGCACAGTCAGTGTTTCATGGAATTTATCTCTCATCAGTTGAGCTTGAGTAGGCTGAGAAAGACTGCGCTGGAAGACCACTACATGTACTTGTCTTTCATCGTGCTCTCCAGGCCATAACATCATCAAGGAATCAAACAAACTTTACCAGGTGTTGCGAATCCAGCGCTAATCAATCCAAAGATAACTCGCGAGTTACTAGAGAGGTTGCGCACAATGAAATTTCGACCGGCCGGGTTCGAGTAACGAAAGTTGCTCCGAAGATCCGTCCAAACTTGACCGAAACAGAGCAGATCTTCGAAAATACTTTTCGTTACCTGGAGTACTAAAATACTGATATTTTACAACTCTCTGTCTTGACTCTTCGCCCCCGCGCGGCTGCCGCGTCGACGCACTACGAAAAAAGTTCAAGCGCTGTGCCCAACCTCACGCTTTTCGAATATTCCTTACCTTTCGTTAAAATATATTCGTTACGGCGCTACGAATTTCCGCTGTGCATGTGCGCAACCTCTCTCTTGACTTGCTTGTGTGAGGGAAGGGGCTAAAAGAGCATACAAGAGGGAGAAAACTCAAGTTTTTAAAGTGATGTTGGAGTAATTCATCGCATAGTACAGAATATGCTACATCATCAGCAAATCAAGTACTGGTACATTTAGTCTCTTTGATGCATAATTCTAGTATCATGCCAAACAAATGTTCGGCTAGTAGCCCTTTCCCAAAGGTGCTCGCCCTTTTTTCGCCCTTTTTGGCCCTTTTTCGAAAAGCCCGTTTCTTTCGCCATTTATTGCGTTTTTTGGTGAATATCGCCCTTTTTGAGCTCTTTTAGCTGAAAAAGTGCTAAAATCTGTTTGCTCATGCTTGCGATCACAGTTTCCGAGTGCTCGATGGGCCCGGGCCTTGGCACGCCGCTTTTTTGGGGGCAACAAGTAAGTGTTGATGAAGCTTTTACACAATGCTGTAAAATGTAGGCTTTTTGAACTTTACTTCCTGTTTTGCCTTTCTTGAACCCATAAATGGAAGAGTGCGTATTCATTTCTCAGCTTGTGTTCATATTTGAACATGTATCATGGCTATGCTTCACTGAAAAAAGAGCACTTTTTGCCTTTTTTCACTGAAAAAAGAGCACTTTTTCAGCATATTTTGAGGGACGCGAAAAGCACTAAGTGCGAATTAAAAGAGCACCTTTGGGAAAGGGCTATCGGCTAGGAGCAGGAGTGAGGAGAATCCAGTAAGGTAGACCTATATCAACAACATAATTTTAAAACGTGAAAGGGAACTACACCGAACAAAGTTACACCATTGTTTAAGCAACATGAACACACACTATGTACGTACGGTATATCTAATCGCCACACACACACGCACACACACACACGCACACCCACACGCGCACACACACGCACACCCACACACGCACATACACATTCACACAAACGCACATACACGCACACACACGCATGCACACTACACACACACGCACACACACACACGCACACACACACACGCACACCCACACACGCACATACACACACACACAAACGCACATACACGCACACACACGCATGCACACTACACACACACGCACACGCACACACACACACGCAAACACACACACATGCACACACACACGCGCACACACACACACGCACACACACACACGCACACACACACACACGCACACACACACACACACACACGCACACACACACACACACACACACACACACGCACACACACACACACACACACGCACACACACACACACACACACACACACACACACACGCATGCACACTACACGAATACACGTAGTCTCAAACATGCTCATACACGGACGTGACGACGTGTGCAAAACAAGAAGAAGCGAAAATGTGCCTTGGAAACGACATGTGAGGAGTGGTGGGAATACTATGACAATGAAGGTGAGATTCTGGCACTAACCTGCAACAACCCTACAACATTGCCCTGTTTTATTCTTGACAGTGCTAAAAGCAATAGAATGTGCAGGAATGGACTCGGATGGAGAGCCAAGGCCGAATTAATTTAAACAAAAGAGAAAGATTTGGCTAAAAGGGAAAGGACCAAGAAACTACAAGTTACGCTACACTGTCCACTATAACACCACCAGTTACTAAATAATCAGCCCATGCGATAACATTGCACGACACTGACCGACGGTACTGACGTTCTACAACTAACTGGCTAACAGCTCTAGCCCATCTTGGATGCGCACTCCAACAGCCTTGCATCTTGGAAGGTTCTAAATATCATAGTTATAGAATACAAACATAAGGAGGGGGACTTGCAACTTGTAGTTCCTTGCTCCTTTTTCTTTCTTATAATTCATCCTTGGCTCTCCATCCCAGTCCAATTGTATACAAGGTGAAAGAGAACATGGTGAAACACAAACAATAGAAATACGATTCTAATCATTCTAACAAAAAATCGGATTCAACTCTCCAGGAATCAACGTTGTGCTGAGGAACAAATCAGAGCGAAGGAACTACTTCGAAGTATAGTATTTACAGAAGGGAATGCTGCAGATGTAACACATACATGTATAAAAAATACTTGAGGGGCTGAGATATCAAAGTGTGATTTCCCACAATGAATATACGAGCAACACAGCCTTTAAGGAGTACCAACAGCGAAAGTCGTGCATTACCTACGAGAAGGTGATAATCAAAAGCCGTATTGAATCAAAACTCACAGCAGAATTTGCTGTATGTGTCCAACTTGTATTCATAAAAAATATCTTCATCTCTTGTAGCATCCAGGGAAATAGTCTGGGGAGATGGCATCCGTGCTGCCTGATTGTCTGCTAATTTGATGAAGGGAAGTTAGGTAACGTGCCATACCAAATGCAGGTGGGAGCAGGTTCCCGATTCGCAGCTATGATACGTCCATGGAGGCAATAGAACCTTTTAAAAAGAAGGTGCATTTAAAACATTTGGATCGGGACGAGGTTACAGGGAGAGATTTCATCATACCAACACCAAAGACAGGGATATGACTGAACAGATGCATGGACATCCACAGTTTTAGGGGACGCACAGACACACGGACACTGGGACAGGGTTATAGACCAATACACCCACTTGTGCATGTACAGGGGACATGAACAGATATAGGGTCAGGGACATGAACAGATACAGGGTCAGGGACATGAACAGATACAGGGTCAGGGACATGAACAGATAAAGGGTCAGGGACATGAACAGATACAGGGTCAGGGACCTGGACAGATACAGGGTCAGAGACCCAAACAGATACAGGGTCAGAGACCTGGACAGATACAGGGTCAGAGACCTGGACAGGTACAGGGTCAGAGACCTGGACAGATACTGGGTCAGAGACCTGGACAGATACAGGGTCAGAGACCTGGACAGATACAGCGTCGGAGACCTAGACAGATACAGGGTCAGGGAGATGGACAGATACAGGGTCAGAGACCTCGACAGATACAGGGACAGATACAGGGTCAGGGACATGTGCATGCACTGGTAAAGGGACGTGGACAGATAC